TGCCTGTCACCAGTCACCTCCTTATCTTCCAGTCAATGCAGGAGTTAAGAAACTACACAACTTTAATTCAGGAGTGTAACAGCTTAGTAAACTTCTTTGGTTTTATGCTCATAGTGAGTTTGCTTGTGCTGAGTCCAAATGGCTAAACAAGCAGTACTGGGAAATATTCTTGATCAAAGAATTACATTTTACTTATAAAAATCATCAATTGTATGCTTTTTTTCAAAATAACATAAGCAGAAAAGTAAAACACGACTAGCTGAACAGAAAACCAGCTTTCTCCCCTATTTGCAAGACAAACCAGACATACCTTCTGAATATCTGTTATATCCGTTAGCTTTATAACTTTATTTCTTTTAGATGAGCCGGACTTGGAGCTTTCAAAGCACAAGTAACTAAAGACAAGGAAAGAAAATGCTCATATTGATACAGTATTCTAAAACAAAGCTCTCAATATCCCTCCTGTCACTTCTGAAGTTTGAAATCTCACAGGTTAAAATCAGCTTAAAAAAAAAGGGTGAGGGGGAGCACACAACATACAATTCAATTATGGCATCTAATTTAGAGCAAGCATTTGTAAATTCTAGCAACTGGCTAATGTATCTGAAAGCCCAGAACATACAGTGTGTGCACACACACACAAAAAAATCTTGTATTTATATTACTGCACGGAATGGTTAAACCTGACAAGCATTTTAAAGACACAGGAAGCACGTATATCCTTTAACAATTGAAATACTAAATCTCGACAGGCTTATAAATCTTTTACCATCCTAAAAGAAGATTAATGGAAAACACTGTGTTAGTTTCATGTTATTGTGATGCAGACAAAAGCTCAGATTTCTAAACGTTGGAGAGTGCTCTCCATCACTAGGTGACATTGCATACAGATGAGCTTTACTTCCATTCACTACACTCCAAAGGAATGTCAGTGCAAGACCCAAACAGTAGTGACTACAGTTATTCACTCTTGGAAGGCTGGGGGATAAGTAAGGATTACAAAAAAAAAATAAAAATCAAGTACTAGTTTTGAAACCAAGGCTTGAATTTCTATTTTCTTTTTGTTGCACATTGTTTCAAGGAATCTATACATTCGATTTGCTTTAAAAAAAGAAACAGAGTATTTGCCAAATAACCATTGATCACAACTCTCCAAATACACTTAACTTCTAGGATTCTTTTTTAATATGTTATCCGCATCAAGAACTGCAGCTACTAACAACTAACTATGCAGAGCTACTCTCCATGCCTATGCAAGCCTTTCCAAGGCAAAATCACACTTGTTAAGTGTTACCACACCCCAGATTCAGCTTGCCCTCTCCCATGGTGCTTTCCTGAGGTTTTAAAGCACCATGAAAATGCGTTTTTGTTTCAAAACATTATTAAAGGACTACTTTTAGATTCAAATTTTTTAACATCTGGTGATTTCCCTCTCTAGAAATGTGTGGAGTGCCATGACTCACTTTTCTGTGACATAAAGAACTCCATTCCTGATGTAGTCTGTCGGCATCTTCCTATCTCTGTTAATCAAGCAACAGCGCCAGCCATTTTCACACACTGAAAAAGTCATAACAAGAAATCAAACTGTAAGACAGATAGGCATTACCCCCAACAGTTTCCTTATAAAATAGCAAAAACACTTAAAATTGAACTTAGATACCTAAAACTAGAAGTGTTTACAAAGAAAAGCCTAAATGAAGTATTGTTAGACATCTGTTTTAACACTGGTTTTAAAAAAATCCCAAAACAAAAACTACCCACACAATTATTACAACTATTCCCTTTAACTTCCATTTGCATTACCAAACTTGACTCTTCCATCTGGATTCCCACAAATGGCACACCTGGCAGTGCGTTCTTTCAAAGAACGGCAAGGACGTGGAACACAAGAGACCATCTCCAAGCAAGTCTTTTGACTCAAAAGCTTATACCTGTACATTGCACCAAAAGGGAATCCAACTTTAACCTGTCCTGTGCTTTTTCAGAAACTACTCTGCTAATGTAGTCTTCCTGTTGCGTAATACCTGCCAAAGGACGCTCATTTTCCGACAGGTTAAAAACTTCATGGAAATTCCCCCTCTTCGTGGTATGAAAACGACTTGTGTCTTCATCTTTGCTTATTCCAGTTGGGGTGCTTGAGCCCACATAACTTCTGGATGCTGCTGTTTGAAGCTGCAGAAAAATAAACACAATTCCAAAATTTGAACAGCAACATTTAAGCTGCGCTTTTAAAAATAACTTGGCTAACTGTTCTTCCTAAAAAAAATCTGTAATGCAACAATTTTAACTACTTCAATACAGTTAACATTGGACTACTGCACTATACTATTGCTATAGCACAAAGCTGTCATGTGCTATGTGAAGATCACCTTTCCAAGTGCTGCCCTTTGATGGATGCCCTTTGCAGGGGTGAAAGCACATGGTACTAAATGCACCTATCTTAAAATACCACTTTTCTACAGTAAAGGGTATATCTAATTAGATACAGCTAAGTCACTGCACACAGCTCCAATTAATATACTAGTGGGACTACTAATAGTTAATATATTATCAGTAGTTGGCTTGTCTTTAAGAGACAGACCAAACGCAAAATATTATTGCACAAAATAAGATTAGAAAGAAAAAAAGAGCAAACAAAGAAAAAGCCACACAAAACTGCATATGCACATTATGAATACAAATGCTGAAATTGAAAGGAAGTTTTCCACGCTACGAACCATACCTTTTCATGCCCTGACAGCTAGCAGGAAAAGAAACAAACAACACAAATGTGACAGTGACAAAAGAAAAAAAGTGAAGTCTATTTAACAGTATAATACATAGAATAAAACATGAACTGAGTGACACTACAAGATCTTGCTCACAAATAAAGGGACTACACACAATGAATGCAATTAGAAAAAAAGAAGAGCTATCAGTGGTTAGAGCACACCAGTTCAATTTATTCAAGTTGTGTTAGAGCCATTGATCTTTGCTTCACTTTGAAGTTGCACTAAATTTTGAGAGTGAAATAAAATCAGAATGGTTGTCAGCATCCTTTGTCGGGGGGGGAGGTCGAACGGAGTTCTCAAAACCAAAGTACTTTAGTAAAATCTACTTTTAAACAGAGCTCCTGAATCACTGGAGACTGCCCCAGCAAAGAAGCCTTGCTTCTGGAAGGATGACAGGCAGTTTCTTTTGGAAAGCTTGTCTGCATTTTTCATTTTGGTGGGGCACCACACAATTCCAAAGCCTAGCTTTTGTCTTTGCAGCATTAACAGCTCCGATCTTAGCCCTACCATACACATGCAGTTAAACAACTGGCAAACTGACAACATGCAAGCTCAGGACTAAGCCCTTCTTCTGTAAAGGCCCAATGCTGTCGCAGGCCAACCAGCCTCCGCTGCTTTTTTCTTTGCACGTAAGTTGGCAGCACTCGACACTTCGCGGGATTTAGCACTAACAAAAGAAATCCAAAGCAAACGAAAAAATGCACACTGCAATTGCTGAATAGAAACCAGACTGACAAAACAGGCAAAGCAGAGGGTATTTACCATCCAGCTTTTAGGGTAACTGTAATACAACGATGCCTCGGGGGAAAAGAATAAAGAAAGTTGACATGGAAAGCAAATGGTTGATGATAACTGTACTATTGCTTCAGTTACTGCCCCTCTGCACTGCCCTTAGCAATGATTGAGCCCCTGGAACCAAGGAAAATAACAGCTTCTCCAACAATTTGTATGCAAGTAAAGATCAGATAAATTCTTTGAAGGCTTTCTTGGACAAGTTATTTGGCTCTACATGCACGTAACCAGGCAAAGCTCCATGGCTCAAACCATGGAAAAGGTCATGGCGAGAGGTCTAATGCTTTTTGCACTGGAATGAGGATTATTCCTGCTCTCTGCTACACTGCTTCCTACCTACCCATTATATAAAAAGACTAAACAAAGGTGTTTAAACTTCAGTATGACATCCCATCCGGTGGCTGAAGATGTGAGGAAGTTCTGCCCTTACTTCTAGTTCTTCCTAACACAGCCAAATGTTTCCTCTACCCTTAAAACAAGCAGCTAATTTATCCATAACCACCCAGGCTTGAGACAACTTATGGTCGATCACTAAAAGAAAAGCATTGCATCCAATTTTGACAGGCCTTAAATCTAACTGGAAGTGATTGGATTTGTAATGCTGGAAGAGTCCTGACTGTCTAAAAAACGTCACCAGCAACCTGGAGGTAGGAATACCTGGAGGTATTCCTTTTCACTTGATCTGTCATCAGCTTTTGACATATAACCTTTACCCATCACATACTGTTGTCAGGATTGTTCTCTAAGGACACGGGGTCAGAGTGGTGGTACAGGTAATGAATATTGCATTCCGTTCAGGTTTACAGTGTCTTCTATGCTCTTTAATGATAAGAAGCCAAAGCAAATGCACGTATGCTGGCACTACATGCTTCTGGGCTCTGCCTTTTCTATGAAAAACTTATTTGTTTTTTACCTTTTTGTAAAAAAATAATTTATTTTTTATACCACAAGGTTCCCAAAAATCTCTCAAGGGCTAAGAAAGTTTGTCTAAAATTACTGAGACCAAGCTGATGTTTTCAAAGACATCTGGAAACAGATAATGCAGTCCTGCACATCTGTTCCAGGCAGACAAGCCAAGCCCGGCAAGTCAGACACAGTAGTACTAAAACCCTGGTCTACTTGTCAAAATTTAAGCCCATAAGGAAAAGCCAGAGGGATAATTACTCTCTAAGTTTATGGATTCAAGTTCAGCAATTCAGAGCCTCTCCACCTCTAAGGCAGATTAGAGAAACCCAGCAAGAAGCCACCACAACCACCACAGTATGTGAATGATAACCTGTAAGCTCGAGAGGCACAGAAACTTTAAGCCCATCTTGTGCAAGCAAGAGAAATACAAGCTATGGATGGCTCTGTCCAAGTGCGCATTCACCTCTCCTCCCTTGAAAAACAGGAGCAAATGACTCACTTTCTGTCAGAGACTCTCCTTCTCTTCTACCTCCTTCTGAAATACTCAGACGATGCTGCAGTTATTTTACCACGAACTGCTCCATCACCCCCAGAAAACCACATTTCTTCTTCTTCTTCACAGCTTAACAACCAAAGGTTCATGTGTTTATCCCTTTTACTCTCCAGTTGTGTACCCAGGCTGAATTACTGCTGAGTGCTGCACATTTTAGTCAGGGAGCTTATGACAGTACTCAGGTACTCCATGAATGCAATCAAATATTATGATAAGAGTCATGAAGCAAATCCTAAAAGGGGATTAGACTGAAGTTTTATTACAACTATTATTCTTCTTAAACTAATAAACATTAACAAATTCAGGGATATGGGAAAGTATGATTTGCTCTTCAGTTATCATGTCAGACCCCAAAACAATTTGCAAAGATGCACCAAACACAACGCTTAAAGATTTAACTATGAGATTTTAGCAAAAGAAAAATTTACTGTTGGAGTACCAACACGGTGAAAAGTCATTTATCAGCACTGTTAAAAGGTCATCTAATACAAATAACCATAAGATATAATGCCTAAATCTGTAAACTACTTTACTACCTCTGTTAATGCTAATCCCACTAGTAAGCTGCATATTACACTCAAGCCTTTTTTAATTTATTTTTTTTTTAACTAACTGTTCTTCAATCTATACAAGCAGCTGGATTTCCACTGAAAAAGAATGTCTGAGAACAGAGAAGGGGAATATAAAAAGAGAAAAAACTGACAATAGAATCACACAGAATGTATGTTACAGAAATTTATATGAATATGGATGGTGTTATTTTTTTTGCATTTAGCTTCATACGATTTCCAGTATACATATATCTCTCTCTATATATACACATTTAGATAATAGATTCCTTTCTTACAAGAAACAGAATCCATATAAAAACTTGGTGAAAATAATAATTAAAAAAAAAGAACTAACATTGACTGTTAGGATTTAATTAACCTTCCTTTTAATCCTTTTAATGTGCTCTAGTCACTGGGGGAAAAGGAAAGGAAGAAAGGAATCTGATTTTCAGATGTTGGGAACAGAGGGACAAAAAGATTTATTACCCTTACCCGTCTCGACACTGTAGCATTAGATCTTTCTTTGAGCTGAGGATCTGTTGGGAGACTTGTCCAGATGATATAAGGAGTATCATACTTAGCTCTTAGTCTGGGGCATCGTTTGAAGATAAAATCAATAAGGAAAAACTTGATTCCAGCATAGAGTCCTGAAAAAAAATGTCACTTTAATAGGCATGTTGCAGGGGCATTAAGAACATCACTGTTTTGATCATGTTTTAACAAGTTCATGAATAAAAACAAATTCTGTATTTTCAGTCATAGTGCTAAACCATTTTCTTGGTTTTAGTATCTTGATTCTTCTTCCAAAGACAGGAATTTATCTTTCTTTTCCTCTGCGGCCCAGATTTCTTTCCTCTCCATCCCCAGTTCTTTTAAACCACTTATGTAGCTTCTTATTATGCAGAAGAACATTCAAATAATGCAAACATACATTCCTTATTACCAGAAGCATTCTGAAAACATGATATACTTCCAAAACAGAAAACATGCCAGAGCATTCAACTCTGCAGCTCCTTGCAAGAATTTAAATGGCAACAGAGGGCTCTCATGTACTACATTAAACTCTATCTTCCAGTCCAGTACCTCCTCTTATCTTATACAAGATATTTCCTTGCATACTGCTAGATTAAAAAGGGCTTGAAATACTCTCTCAAAACTTTACTGAGTGTAATTCAGATCTCTCTCTAAAAGTCAGGGTAAAAAAATAATTCCTCGCACATCTAATTCAATTGCCACGTCAAGCAAACCTACGTTTATGTTCAAGCTAACACAGTTTGAAGTTCAGTGCCACAAAAAGTAATACTCATTGTCATCATGTCATTAATTAATTAAAAAAAAAAAGAGAATTCTTGGTTCATATGATGTGGCTTCATATCTGAGAAAAAAGACAGTCTCGTGCTGCAGTGAAAACACTCTTTTCCCAATTCTCAGTTGAAAGCTTAAGTATCTGCAACTTCCCCCACAGTAATCCGTTCATTTTGTCCAGCCTATCCTCCAAGTTTTACAAGTAGTCCCATTAACCCTTTCATTTTTTTCCAACCCTGTCATCTTTGTGCCTTCTACGTGACCCCACATATTTAATTTGCAGGGAAAAAATATGAGTGAAAAAACCCCAAAATAGAGGACTTCCTGGAAGCCTTATTATAACTGACAGTCTGGAGACCTCTGCTAATAGCTCATCATAGACTTCCCCTCTTCAAGGAGCAAATGCATTATCCAGTCTTTTTCTATTATATTATGTATCCAGAGATGGTTTTCAAAATGCACATGACAAACGATGCCAAGCACAATGAAAATACTTTAAAAACCTGCATTATTTATTAATGCAGGGTTTTCTTTCTTAAATGCTAAAATTCTCCCTCTAAAGATGACGTTAAGTTTTAACGCATTAAGTCTAGACTGTAACAGGTCAATTATTTATGGCTTTTACCCATTGCAAGCCCAATAATCCTGTAGGGCAAAAAGCAGGATGCAATAAAAGCTGCCCATAGAGTAATGTAGAGCTTCTGTGTTATTTCTGGCTGGACCCACATGAACAAGCTGAAAACAAAAAAAAGAAACAAAATTTTATTACTAGGGTTCCAGACATTGGTCAAGTCTTGTTTTACTGGGGCAGGGAGGGGAAGACTCGGGTCAGGTAACTTACTTTTTAATTTTTTCCAGTATGTCTGCCATCTTGCCAAAAAGGTTCTGCATAAGAAGCAAGAGAATTAAAACCAAGTCCTGCATTATTTTGGTTTTTTTGTCCACACAATAGAAACCAGAGTTATCTCACTCTGTTGGTAATAAGCAATTCCCAGAAGTGTTTATTTTAACTAATTTTTAGCCATATATGTACTTCACAATTGAGTAAATACAGAACAGAACAGCAATATTCAATGACTTCCACCTCATTTAACACCTTGTTCTGTAACTTATGATTGATTGTTAAAAGCTATTTGACCCCACTGTCACAACTGGAAAGTGTTTACATCCCTGCAAATATTTTTAATTATGCCGTCAATCTAAGAGTTAAGAGATTCTGTTGGTAGGTAACAAAATGGGAAGTTTCTTCACACATTTTGAGCACTGAAATCTCAGGAAGTGGTTACTGAGTTCATCAGATGTTGGACTCTTAGCTTCTTTAGAAACATACCACCAGCAGGTGTTTATGATATACTCTTTGAGTTACTAGATTCCACGTAATTCCAACAACTGTTGACGCAAACAGCTCAGAACTAAGAGGGTTACTCAGCCATCTTCTCTAACCAATTCTTGCTGTCACAGCACCTGTAAACTTCATCTTTCCAACAAATTTCCAAAAGTGCTCATATAAACATATGCACCACCACCATCAGAAGGAAGGAGATGAGCATACCCAGTTGGGAAGAGAAAGGTAAGCTACTTTCAGCAGCTTAGACATGGCACAAGGCTGCAGTTCCATCAAACTGACGGAGCTGGGAGAAAACCTTCCCTCACCCTCTCCCACACAAGCAGCAGACTTCAGGACCAGGGAGGCGGGGGGGCGGTGTTTAAACAGACTGTTTTGGAGATACTGTACAAACTGTTGAATTAACACAGCTAAACAGACAGTTGAAGGAATAGGGTCTCTTACACCAGTTTTGCCACTAGCAGATTTGGGATATACATCCATACTCCAGTACACTGGTAAGATTTGCCACCTGATCTACATTATTAGAAGCTCATTTGCATATATTAGGGAAAAACTGTCAGAAGCTTCTTCTCTTCCCCTTCAGACCTCAGAGCCGTGACTGAAGAACCTCGACCAGTTCTCTGAAGCATTGTGCCAGTCCAGCAGCTCCAGGCATCTTACTGAGATCTCTGTGCTCATAAGTAAAGATCCCTATGCAAGGAAAGTATTGCTTGTTTAAGTGTTTGTTTTCACATGCTGCGTAACAAAGTACTTTGACCACTTGGACTATGAAGCTCCTTGTTCTAAGGAAGCAGCCAAGATGTCCAAGAGCAGCACAGTACCTGCGCCTTCTGAGCCACGTCTAGAACAAGCTGAAACTTTTCAGATACCGTCAGGTCCTCTTTTGGGGGCTCCTTGGGCGAGAAAGAGACAATCCATTAATTTTCAGCACAGTTAAAACTGATATTTTACAAAATTCCTCATGACAACATGATCCCTCAACTTTCTTGGCAGTAGTCCTCTCACTTTAAATAGTCTCTAAATTTGCCAAGTTGCTCCCTTGTTTAGGATCTACTGTTTGCATCTTTCATTGCTGGTTATCTTCAGTTATCAATGCTTTTCCTCCATAGTATATGCAAACACAGCAATATGAGGCTGTGAAAAAGACAGAGTAAGTCTTTGAAGCAGCATGGTTACAATGGCTTTCAGTCTATGACCACACATTTAAATTGACCTACTTCTGGTATAGCACAGAAATGTGGTTTTGTTTCGTTTCTTTCTTCTTTTCTTTTTTTTTTTTTTTTTAATTTTTTAAGTTTTACATCTATAACTTTATTTATTTAAATATATTTTTGGTCTTTTAAGAATAACAAAATTATCCTGGAAGCAAGGCCTCACTAAGTCTTAGTAAAAAGTATGAAATTCAAAGAAATCCATCTTTACATTAATACTTAAAATACACTTCCTGCTTAAAGCAGGATATGCGAATATTTATTTCAAAAATTTTATAGAGAAAACAGAATGCAAGGCTTCTTGAAGATCCCACAGGATCTAACTTGTCCCAAGCTAGCATATTAACATTTATTCCAGAAATGTCATTCAAATTTGGAGTATTTCATGGTGAAACACCCAAACCTATAAGATTTCTAAATTTAAAGAGAAAGAAAAAAGCTGTTGTGTCCTTATTTGCACCTCATTCTTCTTTCCTTTTACAGCAACCCACATAAACCCAGAGGAAGGTTTTGAAGGTGCAACTTTTAACATCGGCGTACAGGTCAAACCAATCAAAGACCTACCATGGGTTCAGAAACTTCAGGCACAATGCTCCACTGTATTCTCCAACCCCTAGAAGTTACGGAAATAGTTAAAGAGAGCAAGTACTTCTTCTCCACCTGCCAACATGGATTATTTGTAAGAGGTTACAAAGCAGTTTTCTGCAAAGAGCATTTATGGCTTAAGAAAAAGAAATAAAAATCCCCAAATCAACAAAGAACCCACAAACTAACATAAGTGGCCAACCACATACAGCTTTAAAGGTATATACTTCAAAAAAATTGTATGAGCTCAGTAGATACTACACAGAATCACTGCTTCTAGGTTTTACAACAAAAGTGAACTGTGTGCACAGAGTAAATAATTAGGAATATTTTCTTCTTGTCTTTTATGTGAACAAAATTATATCAACTTATTCTGGAGCCTATACACTACTGGTAATTTTCAAATAGAGTGATAGTAAGTATTAATTAAGAAATCAGAAAATTATTTTAAAATATGCACATTAAGATCCTCCCCCCCATTTTGAGAGGAAAACACCATCAGCCTAAAACAGCATTTTTAAAAGATCCTCTCAGTAGAGAAAATGTACTTTAAAAAAAAAAAAAAAAGAAAAAGAAATTCTTTATTTTTAATAGAGACCGAATATACAAATGGAAGATACTTTGCATAAAGTATGCCAAGGGCCACTGAAAAAGGCAAAACTGCAATTTTAGCCCTAGGTGAAAATTCTCTCCACGGAAAAGCAGCAGGTTTAAGGCGATGTTCTCCAACTACTCTAAATACTGCAGAATATTTTTATTTTAGAATTTTAAAGTGTTGAAGGATTCCTCTGAGAACACGCAGCATCATTTATCATGACCCAAGTCACAGGAAAAGAAGATAATTCCTTAGAATAGTCAAAAATTACACAAATTGAACAACAAAATTAAGGATATTAGAGTTTGAATTTCACTTTGTTAAACTTAACTCACAACGTTAGAAAAGGTAACAGTTTAAAACTCAGTGCAAGAATAATAAAACATCTTTCAAGCAAAGCATTACAAGAGAATAATCTAGGATTTAAGTAAATACCTGGCTATGAGGTAATTTAGGGACAACCTCAAAATTGCTAAAAATAAGAACATAGGAATGGCCCAGCCATGCCATACAGCATTCATGTAAATCTGCAGATTAAGAAGAAAAAAAACAAAGACATGTGGATTACAAACTGGGGTACAGTGAGTTGTATGAAATACTGCTTCCCACTGTACTGTTGGGTTCAGAATCACACAACTCAGACCATAAAAGTTAATAAATTTTAGCCACCCCATGACAGACAATAGCAGTGCATTCATGAATGTAAAGTTGAAACTCTAAGATTGAACCTAATCTCCAGAGATGACAAATAGTGCTCAGCTGCTTGAGAGAATGAATATTTCCAACACTGCAATTACGTGAAGGTATAGGAAAAACATAGTAAACCTTAAAGTCTGTGAGTCTGCTACAAGACCATGATGTGGTCTGACCTCACCTAGATCAGCTGAAGCAATCGTATAGTAGAAGAGTTAGAACAATTAGCCCCTTGCAGGGGGCTATTTGATTTGAAGTGCAGCATAACCCCTACTCAGATATGGCAGTTTCAATGAATTTCAGTAAATAATACATTTAAAAAGTTCTTACTGCTACTCCTGGAGGAATAGGATAACTTACAATAAAGGCAATAGCAGAAGTGTAGATAGAATACCAGTCTGATAAGGCAGAAAGATTCTTCACAAAATTAGTAACAGGTTTGGCACCTCTCTCTACACAGAAATGGAGAAAAAATACAACTGTTAGAATTAGCTGGCAGTGGTTAAATTGCTTGTAAATGACAAACAATCAAATTGGAAAATTAATAAGAATATTCAAGACATGTAAAGATGAAAAGGCTTATCCAAATTAAGAAAAATGAAACCCATCAATGTAACTGAGCACTAGTTAAGTAACACATTTCCAAAAAACTAAAGTGTTATTCAAGACAAAGGTTATGTCTATGCTCTGAAGTGTAGACAAAAATAATCGATACCCCCTACAAGGTTGCTGACAGCAGGCCGTTCTGAGCCCTGTTCATACTACCCTGAAGACCTCCGCACAGGTCAGTTCATCCCACTGTAAAACAAGGTGAATTAGCCTGACTGCACTCCAAGCCACTGAGGAACATCTTGCTGCTACTTGACCAAGCTAGATCTCTCTTGGCTAGGTTTCTGCAGGATTCTATCCATTGGTAGCATTTTGCTGCTTACTCTTCTTAAGCCAAGAGACACAGGACCTTGCTGCCTGAAGAAGTTTGTCTCCCACCTCTGCAGACCTTTGCTCTCTCAGTCACTACACTGGAGACAAACCTGTCACTCCCACGCACAGATGCCCACAGCAGCCAGCCACAACAAGAGGAGCTCTTCCTCCGCTCCCTAAAAGACTTGTCCTTTACCCTTCCTATTCCTCTAAGCTCTTTTACCACTTGGACAAACTAGCTAGGGGGACCAAGCAAACAGGAGAGGGCTACTGCAAGAAGACCTTTGCTTTCTCTGTTGGAACACATGGGTTTCGCCTTCCCTGCTGAGAAGAGGGACGACTCCTCTTGCGCAGGGGGCCCCAGAAGCATCCACCCTTGTTTGCGGTACAGCTCACAACTTTCAAAGGCTTTCCTCAAGAGAGGAAAGCAACTTGCTGTTCTAGTTAGTTTGCCTTGAAATTCAGCTATCCTTGATACATTCCCTATGGGAAGTAATTAAACAACTAGGACTGGATTTCCTTGAGCATCAGCAGCACAACCAAAGCAGCAGATGAAGTAAGCGAAAAGGCATGCTTGAGGCACTGGAGGAGGTCATGGACTCGAGCACTGCACCACCATCCTACACCAAACCTGCAGGGAAGGTCAACACCTGGAAACTGCTGGCAACAAGGGTCTTGAAAACAACCAAGGGTCTTGAGAGCTCTGGGTGATTGTCAGGCACCCCTGAACAACAGGGATCTACATTTTGTGGCTCACTGAGTGGAAGTTAAGAACCACTCAAAACGTAAGCTTAATACTGTATTTTAAAGCTATTGTGAAGGCAATGCATGTCTACCATGGACAACAGGTCAGAAGTATTTTCCCAAATGAAACTAGAATGAATACCAGTATAAGAATAAGGTGAACAAAACTGACCTCACATGGAGATTACAGACCCTTATTTCAGCTTCCCCTTCCCCTCAAAATAATTTAACAATTTGGAGGACAAATCAGCCTTTTTTTTTCTTCAGGTTAGCAATTCTTCGCTGCACAGAACTTTTAGAGGGCTTTACTACTTCATTTAACCTGCCATCTTACATATTCCACCTTCCAAAATAATTTATCAGCTATCCAAGAAAAAGAAATGCAAGACACACTCAGGGTATGCATTGTCCTTCTTCGAAAGCATAAGCTAAACAGACTAGCAAGCAAACAACAAGCAGCTCAGGCATAAGTATGTGAACACTGTTACTTTTACCACTGGACAAATACCCTGTTCTCATTCATTACATGTTTACACATTTTAATTACCATTACATTTTTAGTTCAGAGATACCCTATGTAATTCAAGATTAAAAGTAAGCTCCTACCACTGCTTCTCTAGTTACTTTGCACTCCAAACACTAATTCAGGATTTCAGAATCATTTCTGCTTATGAAATGGCAGAAGTATTTCAAAACACTGTATTTTAAAATGCAGCAATCCTCCCAGTAGGGTTACTAAGAACTATTTTGACTTCCAGAAAATAAAATACTGCTAAGTACTTACTTAATCTTCTCATATTTTCAGTCAACCTGAAAAATAATGGATAAAAACAACTTGTTAAATAGGCAAGTAGCGTACAGTTGTGTACATTTGGTCCCTGAAATACTGCTCGCAGTTATAAATTAGATGTTTGTGCATAAAGTTCCATTCTTGCCTGTTATGAAATGTGTTTCCAGTAATTAATACAGCCTACCTTGCATCAGATCAAAAATTGAAAGGTAAAAGCTCTCCAGCCTAACTAAGACTTTGTGCACAGTTTTCAAGAGGCATATGACAGAACCTGGTAAATAACATAACTCTTATTTTACCTCAGACAGCAGACAAACTTCAAATTTCATGTTTTGACCAAAGCATTCACAAACCTTTGAGATGGTTCTGTACTTTCAGTTTTATTACCTGTTATGCAAACACTCGCTCAAACCATGTAAAAGCTTGTAAAAAAAAGGAAAGAGAAAAAAAAAGCAACTTGTAAAGAAGCCAACAATTTCTCACAAACACGTTGGAGATTTACCTTCTAGCACTAAGTGGCTCTTCTGTTTCCACTGTATTCTCTTCTGGCTGAAATCTGAAGTCCTCAACATACTCCCCAAATTTGTCACAAAACCACTTCTGGAGTCTCGAACAGACTGTGTGACTACGCTTATCTATAAAAAAGAAGCACTAAATATCAGGATATTACTAGAAGACACCTTCATACAAAGAGTGCCTCTGTTCCCACACACCGTGCTTTGTTGGGAAGCAGGCTTTGTACACCTCTCCTGTCCTTCACCAACGTTCTTCATGGAAACTCACGATGCAGTTTGCTTCTGCCATTGCACAGAAACCCTGATTGCACTAAGCTGGTAAAATAAGACTAAATATAGCACATGGAAGCATCTTACAACAGAAGTACAGAGATTACTTAAACATCCTAACAAAAGAGAATTTTTAACAAATGCTGTAAAAACATTTGCTGGTTAAGAGGTTCCTGTAAACAAAAGACTGACGTAAATCTCAGCGTTCCTATTGTGCTGAAGGGTCACCTCAAGAAAAGCGAGTGTAAAGCAAAACACTCTTGAGCAGAGAGCAGGACCACCACCTCGCACCCACATGAATTTGACAGGAAAGGGAGGTGGAAACTTAAGCAAGATTCTGCAAGAGGCATTTTTACTACCACTTTCCAACCATTTATAGGCTGTAAAAATTGATACTCTGTGTGTACCTAACATGTGCTTGCTTTTTTTCCTAAAGCCAGGCTGCAGCAATTATGCTGTATATGCCACTTTCTATATATGGAATCCATAGTCATAATACTGCCTGGAAAGTATTATTACGTGGCAAAGTAATAAAGCGATGTACACTTTCTATACATCAGTTTCAGTGGAAAAATAAGACAAATATATGAGTATATGGAAATAATATAAGGGTAAAAGCAGGCAGATGAGAACAAAACAATCACATTTTCCTTTATCTGTAATTCAGGAAATCACTGTCTAGAAGGAATAGACAGACTACTCTTTGGAAGGTAGGCCAATACAGCAGTGTCACAAAGAGGAGACTGGTCACAACTATTCCAGGACCAAACTTAGTATATAAAATTAAAATATGATTAGCAGAGGCATGAAAGATTAATCAGCCAACTAAAACAGCCAAAATGATGCTTTTAAGCATATGAGAAAAAGCAACAAGTGCTCAGAAAACAGAATCAAACTATTTATTAATGAATGACAGTGATATCTAGAAAAACAAGGAATTTCATGACAGTTTACAGCTGAGACAACGTTACATCTGAAAATAAAAAATAAAAAAAAAAAATGAAGGAGCTTCCTACATACTAATACTTCAGAAAGTACTGAGAAAGAACCATTGAGCATACATGACAGAAAAAAAAGGCAGGTTGTAGAAATAGAAAGTACTGACATTATGGGAGTACAGGAGGAGCAACTTCAAATTTAGTCCGCAGATTTAAAAGCCTAAGTGGTTGTCTCAGTCAAGAGGTGTGGGGAAGAAAGCTTAAATGTACTGAAAAGTTGAGAGTCTGACTGTTGCCTTAGTTCTTTCAGAAATCACTATATTATTAAATTCATAATAAGCATCAGCTTGAGAAACATAGACAACGGTGGAGGTGTCCAAAAAATGAGTAACTCTTAAGCAAGCTTAAAAGAGCTTTTGCAGTTGAGACCAAAATAGAACATCTTTTCTATGTGTTACACCTGTTTTCTAGTAAGTCAAATATCAGCAAGGCATGCAAGAATGATGAAGTCAGGCAACAGGTTTCGTTACATTCCTAGAGGCTTTACAATAGAAAATAAATTACTTGCTCAGGTGGGCAAGGTCAACTACAAAAAGTAAATGCAGAATCATGTACAGAGAGGTAAGAAGCTGCTCAAATGGTCTTTTACATTTAGCTTCTTCAGAAGCCTGTTTAAGGACCAGCAAGGTTTTATCTTCTAAGGATCAAAAGAAAGGGGTGAAAAAAATCCAACTGAATCAAATTACTAGTAGAGATCTGACCAAGATTACCTGTTCCGTTGGCTTGTGTCTGTGGCTTTGCAGGTTGCTGAGCTGCAGGCACCTCTTCTGTCCTACAAAGAAAATGGAAACAATGTAAAATGCTACAGATGAAGAATTTTTTTCCCTTTTAGGTAAAGAGAGCACCAGAACCTCCATGGTTTCCATAGCTGAGATAATACAACCATGACAAGAGAAAAAATAAACTTATATCCATTTGCAAGATTCAAAATATCCATTGCACATTGCACTTAGGATCCAGGGAAATACCATCCACTGGAAGGAGAGGTGTGGTTTAGCCATTTCCAGTCACTGACAGCTCAATTTCATTTTATAGCTACTACATAATTTAGTAACAAATGTGTTGCATTACTTATGCCTTTGCCTTGTATATTCGTTGCAATGCCTGCCAGGAAAACTCTTCAGAGCCCCAACTTTTCCCACAGTAATAAATGAAAAGGGATTCCACACTGCATATTGATAACCACAGTACTAGAACAAAACCACAGTTTAATGCATGAACCTTGAATTCCGCCATCATTACAAGAGTCAAACACCACTCATCTTCACAATGAGAGGAACAGGTGTCAAGAATTATTTAAAACATTATGTTGTACGCTCCTGAAATGCACAGATACCAACCAATTTTAAAAATATATTTTTAAAAACCTACTAAACTTAAATACAGATCTGAAAAACTGAAACAAAAATGTTCTAAAAATAAATGGCAAGTAGTAGGCATCATTGGTCTCGTCTTTCAAAACGAGTCAAGAATAATATCACCACCCATTAAAAGTGATCAGATATTAGAAAACACTAATGCTTTTGCCATTCTGCACATGTGCAAGGCTTCAAACTACATTTGCACTATCCACAGCCTCCAACTGTCAACCTGCCTTGAGAATACTTCAGGCTTCAGCCCTACAGAAAGGTTTCTCTAATGAAGCAGCAGCTTTGACAACAAAACACCAGCTGCAGCAAGCTTTACTTGACAGGGAGTTGTATGATCGAAAAGATTACTGCTTGAAACAAAAATGTGTCGATCGTGCGATTTCGTTATCATTTCATTATTACAGAGAGGGAACATAACCTCCATTTTTAAGAAGGGTA